ACTTCCCTTGGTGCAACTTGAAGCCATTTCCTCTTGTTCTATCACCTCTTACTTGACAGAACAGGTTGACTCCCACCTCTCTGCAACCTCCTTTCAGATAGTTGTAGAGAGCCTTTCAGATAGTTGTAGGGGGTAAGTAAGATGGTTAAGGATTTTGAGTATGGACGGCAGCTACAGTCTCGGGCAACATGTTAGGTTCCTGACATGCCTTCTCAGGGTAAAACTTTTCACTTTTTGACTGAAGTTTAATCAATTAATGGTCAAGTTTCTCCACTGTATAATTCTGTGCAGATACAGAAGAAAAAGATACAGCTTCAGTTTCTGGAGCAAGGTGCATGTTCTCCATGTCTCTACCATGGAATATGTTGGTCACTTCCTTTTTTAGTTTATTAGTTCCAATTACTTTGGACTACCTGTTCAAGCTGAAAGAGGTAGTGAGGAAGCCAAACTGTATTAAGGTCAACTTTACACCTATTATGGCCCCAGCTATAAATCTGGTCTTGACTTTGTCATCCATAATGTAGTCATATATTCTTTTCTCATTCTTTACGTTTCCCTCTTACCTGTAAAGACACGGTTTGTGTATCTATTGGGAGGGAACTGAAGTAGTGCTAGGTATGCCTTGCCCTTACATGCCCATGCTCTGAGTCTGAAGGGGGCAGGACAAAGCACACCACATTAAATGGTATGACAAAGGGAAAAAGTTATTGCGATTTCAAATGATACACACACGTCAATTACATACTTCAGGCACTGCTAAGTAATCTTTTTTTCATAATTAAGATAACCCTTAAGAATGTCTTTTCCACTCCTGGAATTTGCTGACACACTGATTATACCTCAGCTGTCTCCTGGAATAAGCAACACAGGCATCTGTCCTAGAGATAAACAAACCTCTTCAAAGCACTGTTTTAATTCATTCTTGGAGCTAGTTTGTTATGCATATTGGATGGAGACTGGAGACCTCTGAAAAATTATTATGGTTGTGTAATTAAAGACTAGCATAATACATACGCACAAAAGTGTAAAATGCAGGTAAAATGCAAATTATTGTATTTTCTCATTTTATTTTAGTGTCTTGACTCTGCAGTTATTTTCTGGCAAAGTTACTGTTTGGGGTTTTTTTTAAATTAACAGACAGATTATAGACACTGTATTTTGTGACATTTTTAATCAGCCTTACAAGTAAGATATTTAAAGGTAGAATGTTGATATCCAACTTCAACTGGAGGTCTGTTTCACTTTGTGATCCTTCAAAAATATGATCCTCCGTATGCATTTGTAATTTTTCCCAATACTTAACTTATACACTTTGAGGAAGTCTATGTCAGGGACGAACGTATAGATAACAGCTGGGATTTAAAGGTCTGGGGGCTGTATCTTCTCTAAGAGTTGTTATTACTAAGCTCTTTTTCTCTCTTTCAAGACTAGAGTACTGTAAGAACTGATATATGCTGCCATGTACATTAGAAGCTAACGAGGAAGGAGCTGCTGTTTGTACACAGCAAAAGTACAATCCAACATGGGCAGGCTAGACTCAATCTTTTGCTAACCTAATGATTGCTATGTAGCCAAAGGCAGTGCCTTGTAGCTGGAGATTTCTCTTTTATCCATAATGTAGTTTAGTGAAGTAAGTCTTAGAATCTTTGTCTTCTCTCGAAGATCCCAGCAGGTTTTCCAGAATTGCAGGATTTTCAAAGTGCTTTTCCAAATTTTTTTATTCTGCTTTATCATTCTGTAGTTTATATTTTGATTTCCATTCATGGTCCTAGTCCCAGAACTTCCTTGCAAAGTTCTTGTGTGCTACTAAGGTCCTTTATGAATTGTTTCTGTTGTTGGGATTGTTTGGCAATAGATTGGTTGCCTGTGGAAAGAATGCAAAAGGCAAATCCGGAGATGGAACAGTATCAGTTCACAAAACCCGGAGAACCTGTTCATACTGAGAAATAAGTAAACATCATCCTCTGTGTGTGTGTGCAGAAGCACCAGGATTCTTGGAAGAAATTGCTGAATTTAGGAAACAATCTTTAAATCTGCTGAGCACAAATGAGTTACTACTGAATTGAAAGCTACTAAGAAAAATGGTAGTAGCCCTTTTACTTAGGAGGTAGAATGTTAGTCGTGGCTTGTTTGTTTTATCACCCACACTACAAAATCTGTAGTCAGCATGTGTTATACTTATGCACATGCCACAACATACTCATAAAAATCTGTTGTGTCTAAATTTCCTTTACTTGATTTAGCTTGCTCAAGTACTACATAGTGAGGAGTGTTATAATTGCTTAGGTAAAGGGGTTTGATGCAATTTGTCTTCCTGTGTCCAACATAGGTCTAATTTCATCTTGAAAATACATTACAGGTTTCTATGCCCCTTAAGAGGTTAGAATGATCCTGCATTCAAGCAAACCTGCCCTGTATAGCCTTGCCTTTGATGCTATGATTTTTTTTTTCCTCCCCTTTTTTCACATGCATCCATGTGCACAGCTCTAAACCAGGAAGTTTTAGAACAAAGTAGGACCTCCCTACTTAAAATATAACATATTTGTGTTAATAAAGGACAATTAAATTCAATTTCAATTTGTAGGCTGTGTCCCTTTCTGAACTCACTCCTTCCGGCCTCTAAGACTGTAATCTGAGGAATGTTTAAAGCTGGAATAAACTATCAGTGTGGCAAAAGCAGCGGTCCTGCCCTTTTGCTGTCCAGCCGGTCTTGGTTTTGCCAGCTCAGCTCTGCTACAGCTGTATAGTAAACCAGATCAGGAGACTGATCTCACTGAAAAATACTTCCCCAGGGAAGTATTTAGGATATAAGCTGTATGTTTGCTTTCATATTGTGTTTTCAAAAGGATGCCCCAGTTCAGTCTTGTAACACCTGACCTCCTTACATATTCGTGTTACATATATAATGCTTTTAAAAGAAACAAATCAAAAAAGATGACTAAAATTCTTGCTGTGAAGTAATAATATAGATCCTGTTTAATCAAGTTACTAATATATCACAAGAACGGGGTTTTTTTTACATCCAAGTTGCACTTTTTCTTTTCAACCTAGCCTTGCATTTCTTTTAAGAAAGTCAATGTGAAATAAAACAAACTCTTCTTTCCTACTACATGCTACCAAGCAGTGGTTTGTTTTAACCAAAATAAAGTTTCCTGTTAGGAAAAAAAATACCTCAGGGTTTTGTTTTTTTGGTGGTTTTTTTTTTGTTTGGTTGGTTTGTGGTTTTTTGTTGTTGTTTTTTTTTTTTTTTCCCCAAGATCTATTTTAGATTTCCTGGGCATAAATTTTATTTTATAGTCCATATGTATTGATCCACTTGGACAGGTGCACAAGTACTCTTTTAAATACAGGATAGAAAAGTTGGCATTCTAAGCAGCTGTAGAAGACATAAAAGCTATCAACAATGAAAACTGAAAATCAGTGAGCTCATTTGACTTTTAGTGTTTAATATAGCTTCTGACAGAAATCAAGTATTACTTGTTGGACATCATGTTTGCCAAAAAATGCTCAATAGATGAAATAAATGAGTGAAGAAAATAATGCTAGTCCACTTGTAGAAAATTAGCATGTTGGAGAAGGGAAGTTGATCTTCAGTGTAGAGTAGGCAGACTGTGGAAACATGACATTTTTGACAGTAGGAAGATCTGTATTTCAGAGCTTTCTGTAACAGCAAACTTTTTATAGCATGTATATTTGTTTGAATTCCAGAACAGTAATATTAAAAGAGAGCTTAATTATACCAGTGAATGCATTCTCCCCTTTAGTTTTATTTAAAGACAACCTAAGAAAAAGAGGGTTCAAGAGAAATAATACTTATTAAGATAAAACTTGTGTTACGTTTTCTGTGGATACTGCTGCTTCTTGTCTGAGGATTTTAAATTTTATTCTTTCAAGCAAGAGGATTATCTTGTAGTAACCAGCATGTGGAAAACATAGTTCCAGGAATTTTGGAGGCATATTACAATGAAGGTTTCAGTTTGCACAGTAGAATGTTATACCACTCTCTATTAATTGTAGCATAATACAGTGTACAAAGAAAAACTGGTATCTTTTACATACTTACGCTTCACCTTTTTTTTAATGATAGTGATGAGATTAAGAAAACTAATGTTTTCTAGAAACTGTCTGACTACAACAAGGGGACCATTCTGTTACGCTTTCCCATTGCGTACAGTACTCTAGATACATGGGCATGGGTAGATTGTTCCCTCTGTAAGATTGTTCCTGAACTTTGAAACTGGTTATTTTAGTAGGCCTGCTAAAGGTTGTTTGTGGATTTTTTTTTTTTTGTTTTCTTTTCTTGTCTTTTTCCCTTTTACTTAAAAAACAGAAGCTGAACTACAGTCAATTGAAAATTAGAGATCCAAACGATACAAAGCAATGCTTGCTCAGGTTTTTTGAATGCCCTAGTCTGAAAGTCTTGCATATCCTATCTTGCTCTTTGTTTTGTCTTGCATCTAGTGTATGTTCCTTAAACCTGTGAGATTCATGTTAGACATTTGAAGAATTACTTGGTACTTTCTGGAACAAATATGCCTGCTGGCATCTTGAGCGTTGCTTGCTTCTGCTCTAATGTTAAGGTAGGACTGTGACAGGAGGCAGGTGATGAAGCTGTGACACAAAAATCTCTGAACTCTGAAACAATTCCACTTCTTCAGGGTGAACATTAATATTGCTTTATTTTTAAGTTCTTATTTAAATGATAATTTTTTAGATTTAACTGTCGTTTCTATATATATTTTAGAAGTATTAAAAAACCTCTCTGCATAGCTATACCAGTGAAAGCAACAGTAGCAATATGAAGGGTATCATTTTAACAACTGTAGGCTTGTATTTATAATTTTTTTTTGTAATATAAAAAGCTACATCAAGAAGAAATGTAGAATTGGATGCTGCAGTTTTATAAAATAAGAAATGAACCTGTGTTAGAAAATTATTTTTTCTATAACAGTCTGTCTTTCCTTTTTTTTTTTTTTTTTTTTTTTTTTCTTCCCTTCTAGGACCGGAATAGGCCCTATGACACTTTTAACTTGCACTCTTTGGAAAATTCCTTAATGGATATGATAAGGACTGATCATGAGCCTCTGAAAGGTAAACACTACCCTCCCAGTGGCCCACCAATGAGTTTCGCTGATATAATGTGGAGGAATCATTTTACAGGTTAGGAATATTCATATGTCCATGCTTGCTTGGTGTTTAAACGAAAATCAGCTTTTCAGTATTGCTATAATCTTTTTGCTAATGAATGAGTTGTCAATTATGTAAAACTTTGGTTTTCCCATCTTAAGATAAGTATCTCTACTGTAGGAAGATAAGGTAAAATGTGTATAGATTTATTATAAGTGCACAATCATAATATTATGTAACTGGCATTTCCAAAACTTGGTGTTGAGTATCAGCAAATTGCACAGTTGGGTCTCCTGCTGCAGTCACTCAAATGTGCACTCAAAATATGTAGTGCAACTACACGATTGTTATGTTCAGCATCTTATTCAAAGTTAATACTATTCTTATTTTTGCATCATCAGCTAGTATACAGGGTTCTGAAACAACCACTGTATCAAGCTTACTCTCTACAGTTGCTTCAGGTTTCTTAAAAAAAAAAAAAAGTACCTTAATTTGGATTTCAAATTGTTGGGAGGAGCCAAAAACTATTAGATGTTAAGTGCTGGGAAAGTTTTGATTATTTATGATACTAAACTGTGTTTGTTCTACCAGGTGTAGCATTGGAGATGAGACTATTTCTAGTACTTAGCTGATAGAGAAATAGTGGCACTGAATAGTGAAAGGTTGTGGCAACATTTCAATGAATAAATATTCCTGATAGATGTGCACAGTCCTCTGTCTTAATCTTTCATTGGTTAAGTTTAAAAATAGGTACATATTCGTGCTCACGTACATTCTGGCTGACTTTGAAGACTGAAGCTAATAGTAAGCCATATACAAAGGAAGTATTGAGCTAGAAATTATTCCCAGACTCTAAGAAGTCAGGACACTGGAACTGATAGAGAAGAAATTTAGTTGTGTATGGCACTTCCTATGCTAATGCTTATATATGTATTTTTCTGATGTCACGACTGCCTCATTTGCTCCCCTTCCCATTTATATATTACTTATGGAAAAATATTTTTTTCTTGGTCTAAGGTCTTGTGCCTTTTTCACCATCTTTCTGAGTACAGAGGTTTTTACAACATACCAAGCGCGGTTCTGTACTCTCAGTTCTTTTAACCTGTGCTTTGCACTATTATCTTGAAATTTGCTGTGCTGTAGCTTTCATGTGTCTTTAAACATTATTCAGCTGTCTAAAATGGCAAGAAATACCGTCTCATATCTCTTCTGATCATAGTCCTCTAAAATAAGTGTTAACCTGAAACTTAAAAAAATCTAGCTCAACAAAACTGAGATTTCTGCTGGATATACGTTTCATGTGGCTGGTATTTAAAAAAAAATCTAGATTGTTAGTAAGTAGATTTAAGTATTATTGTAGTTTATTAAATGTATTATAATCTAGCTAAAACTTCATATTTTTAAAATCAGTATTTATTTAAATATACAAGTTGAGACTAATTTTTTAAAGACTGAATTTCCATATGAACCTGAGCATGGAAAAAATGAGAAAGTTGGATTAGAAATTGTAGTACTATAGAAAAAGACTTTAACATCATGTAAGTGCAATTTTGCTTAAAGTTTTATTATTGTCTGTTTATAACCATTTGAAAATGTATTTTGGTCAGAATATTAGTACATAAAATAATAATGGGTACAAATCTTTAAATCTTTTTCTGTTGTTGGGTCATTCTATCAAGAATAGTTACCAATACTCAGCTGAGCTAGTCTATGTAAGTGTTGCAAGTGGCATATTCTGCAGCTGCACCTGAGTGTCATAACGCTGTTTAATATTGGTGTTTTGCATGAAGTAGAAATGAAATTCTTGGTTTCATTAAGCATCTTCATGCTTTTCAAGAAAAGTATCCCTTCCAAAACAAACTTAATATTTTCATCGGTACTAGGTTATCAATTCATGTAGGAGAATGACTAGTTTAAATGCACATTCGAAAGCAGTAGGAACTGCTTCCTTCTGCTCAAAAAGTAAACCCAAAGAGTTGGGTATTAATTGTAAAATTTGAGTTGATCTTTTCCATTTGCCAGTGAGACTGTTAGCTTTACTTTTGCTCTAACAAACATTTCTGTCACTTGCTGGATGAGCTCATTCTAAGGAACTCATTTTCTCACTCAGTGCTGTTTGTCTGTTTTGGCCTTCCTGCCTCATTACTTAGCTCTCTTCCAGTCCAGTACCTGTTGGAGAAGTCTTGTTTACTATTAGTTATCTCTGTTTCTGCCCAGCTGGTTTTTTTCCCCCATTGGTAGTTAATTCCTGTCTTGCTTTCTTTTCCTCTTCCCTCTAACTACAGGCCTTACTTTGCTAACCTCCAGCCTTGGCTTGACCTAGCGTGCACTTTCCTCTACTCCTGTTTTCACACTATGCAGCATAACTGGCAATATTCATAGGAGTGGCTGTTTCAGGACACGTTCATTCTTCCTTCCAAGAAGTGTAGCCTTCATCTGTGTTAAACAGATCTATGTTACTATTTTAACTGAATCCTTTTCATGAAAACCTATTTTTCTGCAAACATTGATCCACTCCTCAAATCACTTTCCTATTACATTTTTGTTGTTGCATTTTTCCATGAAAATTGGTCTCAACTCTTCCCCTGTACTTCCAACTTTCTGCTTTTCCTCTACCAAAGATGCAGAAGGTTTTCAACTGCGGTCCTTCTCTGCATCTCAGATTTCACTTAATCTTGTCTTCTAAACTCAGTTGCTTTTTTCTTCTTTATCCCACTTTTCTCTGGCTCTCCCCCTTAAAGTAGCAGCACTTTTTAGTCTGTAATCGTCTTGAGAAAGTAAGTGATTGACTCTGCTTGCTTTTGTTTGTTTCTTTAATTATTGTTACATTTTCGTTTATTTTCACCTTGAAGCTTTTTGAATACACTGGTTATGTATTTCAGCTTGATTTTTCCGTTCCTCATAGACATTCCTATGTGAATGCCTCTTGTGCAAAATTTCAAATGCTCTTTCAGGAATCTTATTAGCTTAACCAAATCTCAGAGCTACTTCTCTTCATTTTACCTTCTCTGTCTTTCATAGTAAACTGGGTGTATTTTTTTCCCCTTTAAATCTTCGCTTCCTCTGGCATCTGTGATTGTCCTTTGTTAGGTTTTCTGCAGCTTTTTCTTCTGTAGACAGAAAGTAAAACAACCACAAAAATCCTGGTTTACAAAACAAACAGACAAAGAAAATCAATGAGATGGCTTTAAAATGATTTTAAATTGTTCACCTCTTGGTAAACGAGCCTTGTTTTCTCAAACAGTTTTAGCTAACAGAGCTTACATATCAGTTGGCCTTATAGTTACCATCCAAATTTTTAAATGGAAGGGGTGAAAAGCCTCTGATTTTGAAAACACAGAAAGATTTAATTCTGGAAAAGCTATACAAGTCTTGGAGCCTCCAATGCGTGTTACAAAGCTGGTGCAGCTATTTCAGGATCATTTCAGCCTGCCTCTGGCAACAAAGTCTTCAGCAAATGCTTATTTTTAGAACCACTGTCTTTATATGTATTAATTAGTAAAATATTGCAGGTGGTTTGTCTAAAGTTTGAAACTTTGCTTGGAACATAGCCCCATTTGCCATATGTGCCCCCTCGCATCCCAGCAGATACTTGAAACAAAAAATAATTGTCTTGGATGTAGAACAAGGGCTCTAGGTTAGAATATGGATGGGAGGGTTAACCATAAAAGATTTTCATGGGAAGACCAAATTGAAATGGTTCTGGGATATTTTCTTCTCATTTGAGGGTATAAGTTCCTCATACTCTGCATTTTTCAGTGGAGGTAGTGGAGAAAGAGTGAGGCTATTCTCTTGTTTTGTAGTAGTTGAAGCTTCATACCTTCTCTGAAGCTCAGATATGATCAGACTTTGTCCTGCAGGCCAGGGAAATTGAGTTTATTTCAAAGTCACCAAAGCAGGTCACTTTTTCTAAAGCATGATCCACTTGACCTTGAAAGGGCATATGATTAAGTGACTTTTTTGGGGGAGTGTTGCTTTCAAGTGTGGAAGAAGAGAAAGGCTGAAGGATTGTTAGTGCAGCAGGAACTAACTGATCCTCAGTCTTGCAATATTGAATTACTTATGTTAAGCGTGTGCTAACTCAGTCTGATTGGCAGGCTGGCTTGGTGCTCTCCAGCTAGGAGAGCTAGGGTCACTTAATTCTTTTTGGGTGTTTCTTGCTGTAAGAGAGATTTGATACCTAGCTCTGAGGTTTCTGGACTTAGATAAATTACCAGCTTATCCATCTATGTTGCATTTTATCTTGAGCCCAGTCTTGGGAGAAGGTTCAGTGTCAGCTCTTACTCTGTTTCTGTCTAGAACTGATTTATTTTCCTCAGCTTTTCCTATCAGATAGGCGTACCCTGCTGTAGGCTCCTGTCTTTCTGTCCTCGTAGTCTGGGAACTGTGTAGCTTCACAAATTGTTTGCCATCTTCGTGCTTTGAGATCTAGGGAATGTAAATTAATTAAAAAGGAAGTCTTATTTTCTTTTCTCTCAAGACAGTTAGGCAGACTTCCCTACCTGCTTTCTCTGCCATCCAGACCAGCTTCAACATTTTTCTTGTCGTTCAGTCGATACTCCTAAATCCTTTTCTCCTCTCAAAAAAGAGGGAAAAAAAAAGAGGAAAAAAAAATACAGTGAAGGAATTGTTAAGCTGCTTCTAGTTAAAGATGAATTACTGTATATGGCCAAGGGTATATGGTTGTTCCCTGTGTCAGTCATAATCAGGCATATATCATGGAAGTGTGCAATATTTTCTAAGATGTTTTTCCTGAACTGTCTTATTCTCTGAGTTGCCAATAAAATATATTATACACTACAAAAACATGGGAGAGAGTTTTGTTTTTACGAGGAAGGGATATATTTGCAGTATTTTATAACCTGTTGGTATTTACATCCTGCTTCTACCTAATGCTGCAGGGCAAAACTGAATTATCAGAATAACTATGGGTAGAGGCTACTTATTACTGACTAAAACATTTC